AAGAATTAAAAAATGAAAATAAGATATTCTTCACTATTTTAATTCTTTTTTTAAAGATCACTATTTTGATTCTATTTGTCAAAAATATTAAATGAAAAAGCAAAATTAAATAGATAAGTCCAAGTCCGACAACTATATAGTTAAAATGTTAATCGCAAAAATATATATTTAAATTGCAATTTTAAAATCAAGACAACGAGTACGTGTAAAATAACATGTTCTAATGTTTTCAGAATTTAATATTAATGGCCCCAATGTCTCAAATAATTACCTTTATGACAATCAATAAATTCGAGGGGGAAAACCCTTATTTGTCCCCTTGTTCCTGCCAACCCAACACTAATTAGACCAACAATGTTCTAATTTCCCTGCTTTGTATAACATTTAAGTGGTTAAAAGAATCTTTGTTGTTCTTAGAGGTCACGAGTTCGAATATTAGTAGCTGTAACAGGATGTTTGAGCGTTCATTGTTAAATGATTAAGAGTATTTAGAACATATACTACTTTATAATCACCTTAGCTTAATCAAAAAAATAGTATCTTGTATTTTTTATTCTCCTTTCTGTTCTAGGACTTCGCCCTAATTAATTTAGACCGACCCGCATCACTCACTTAGTTTTGTTGGATGAGTCTCCCAATGAGGATTTTCTGAATACATAAGAACTCGAACTCGAGATCTACTTAAACAATATCAATCTACTTACCAATTGAACCAACCCAGTTAGTAAATTATAAAATGTTTATTAGTTTAATTGACTAATTACAAAATGGTTATTGAAATGTTATAATAATTACAAAAGTTTGATAAATTTAATCCAGCTGATTACTAATTGAACAAACCTCTGTTTGTTTGCGTTTATCTTCTTGACGTGATATAGTAAAATAGTTGTGAATTATTAAATTTTATGATAAATTACGCGTTTAATACTTAAATTATTAATTTTGGTTTGTTTATTACTTAAACTTTTAATTTTTTAAAACTATATCTAAAGTTTAATTTTTATTCATTTTAGTACCCGTTCAAAATTTAACGTTAAGTTTTGAAAAAAACTGAAAGTTTAGGTATTAAAACGGACCAAAACTGATAGTTCAAGTATTAAATATGTTAAGTTTTTAACGGCGACACACTGAAATGAAACAAAAACTAAACATTAGGTATGATTTTGAAAAAAAATGAAAGTTTAGGTTCTAAAATTGACCAAAACTGATAGTTTATGTACTAATTGCGTAGTTTACCCTAAATTTTAGGGTAAAGTACATAAATGGTCCCTCGACTATAGGATGTCATTATGTTCCAAACTCGTCATTTTTCCGTTGGATGTTAACCTACTGACTGATATATGATATAATCTAATCTCAGAATCTGAAACGACTATCATATCTCAGTCAACAGGTTAATTTCCAACTCGAACCACAATAAAATTTTAATAAAAAAAGGACGAGTTTGGAACACGAAGAATAGTTGAGTGACCATTTTGTAACTTTTAATAGTAGGATAACTCAACAAAACAATACCCTATAATTGGGGGACCATTTATATACTTTACCCTAAAATTTATCCGTTGTGGATTATTTTTGGTGTACAATTTTTTTTTTTAATATGAGAAAGGAAAACGAATGTGCAATTTTGTGTTTTTAAAATGTAAAATGTGGTTTTCATTTGAATTAATAAATTCAATTAAAGATATAAAAAAGTATTGATATTAATTATCTAACCGAATTGAATTGCTTACGTGGAAATTCGAATTCAATTAAAGATTCCTATAAAGAACATTAAATGACTCGACATCCCATTAATAACAAAGCATAGTCATACCATGGTTAGAATTCATTAATTGAAGTGGAATTTTCCAAGTCACAAATAATGGAATCCATGGTTAATTCCATTAATTGCATTGGAATTTCTAGATTCAAACCATTTTTTCGTGTAAATTATATCGAATGATAAGAAATTTGATATTCTTCTAATAATTTTTCGAATTTTAAAATTTATAAATTATAATAGAATAAATTAGTATGCGATTTGCATGAGCTGAGTGATCTAGTGGTTAAAGGATCTATTGTTACCTCCAGTTGCAGAGCTATAAATATTTTTCAGGATGAACACACATATGTTACCAACATAAAATTTTTCGATGGGATGAGTACAAATAAAATTTCAGAATGGGTACCGTCCGTAAAACAAGTAATTAATCGAAGAAAACTCAGATTTCAGGATAAACACCATCAGTAAAATAAGTAACTAATCAAAGATAATTAGGATTTCCCACCCTCACCAGGTTGTGGCTCCGCCACTGGTTACCACTTGAGGTTTCAGGTTCGAGCATCACATATGTCAGAGGCAAGAGCATTTATTGTCAAATGGTTGAGTGTGTTTACGAAAAAATATTGTCTTGCATACCCCATTATTAAAAAAAATTTAATATGTGTTTTTTTAATTGAAATTAAAATATTTATGATCAGTATTATTAATTAATTCCTTTAGAGCAAGAGCACTCAAAGATAGGGATGGATCACAGATATAATCGTCTCTCCTGAAAATTTTAAACTATCATATATGTGAGATCTTTTTAAGTTTTTATTATTAATAATATATTTTTATTTTTTAAAATTTTTAAAATTCATCTTTTAATATAAAATTTTACGTCTATTTACTCGAAGAGATAAATATATCGTTGTAAAAATATATTTTATATCTGCAAATGAAAGAATCTAAACTTTAATCATTATAAATAAGAGAGGAGGTAAACAACCACATCATCACATGTGTGTGAACCTTTTTATTATTGAAAGAGTTTACTGTATTATATGTCCTCAAATTATGATTCTCATTTTAAATTGGCTCTCAAACTTTTGAACATTCTAATTTTGATTTAAATTAGTTCTTAAACTTTTGAACATTCTAAATTTATTCCCAAACTATGCCATTTTGATTAGTTCATGTACTTTTGAACATTCCAATAACATCCCTTGAGTCAGTTAAAAGCTTGAGGTTGAAATTAAAACGTTCAAAAGTTTGGGGAATGGGTCATAGCTTAGAGATGGAATTGGAATGCTTAAAAGTTCAGGGATCAATTTAGAATGAGAATTATAGTTTAGGGATGAGATTAGAATGTTCAAAAGTATAAGGATCAATTTGGAATGAGGACTAGTGCAAATAACCCTTATTGAAATTTGTGGACAATAAATGAAATGATGGTTCCGAAAAATTGATTAGAACATGTGTAGTACAACACATACGGCGGAGAGGCTGCTGACAAGTCGCACCGGCGGCAGTGCCGCCTGCCCTCCCGCCTCTTTGCTTCAATCTTAAAACTCTTCAATTCCATTTAATGCACTCAACGCATATTCAATTGAAAATATCGTCTCAGAAAAATAAATAAAAATTCACGGGAATTTATAACGTGTTTGACCTAATTAATCTGAACCGATTTAGATCGTATGTTTAGTAACTTCTCGATAAAATTAGATAAATCACCATGTTTGAGAAACTAAATTAATATATAAAAAATATAAATAAAGAAAAATTTATCAGTCTCTCAATTAATATATATAAAATAAAAATATTTTAACCTCTACTATAATAAATTCATAGTTCCGCTCATATATATATATATATATATATATATATATATATATATATATATATATATTCATCTTTAATTATAATTTAATTTTTTCTCAAACATTTTATATTTCTATATATTTTGTAATTCCTTAAATTGATTTTGTGTTGCAAGTGTTATAATATATTTAATTATTTTTATTCATTTATTTAAGTAATCATTATTTGAGTAACTATTTTTATTTTGTAAAAAAATAATTATTTTTATACAGGTCGGGTTAGTTTCTTTTGTGGATGGGTTGAGCCAGGCTCAATAAGAATGGGTTGAATAGGTCCAATATGGTTTTTTTGGCCCATTACCGTGGGCTCCAAAATTATTTTTGGAAAAAAACAGTGTCAGCAAATTATTTCGGGATCTACGGTATCTTTTACAGTATAGAGAGAACTCATCATTCGTGGAATATTATTTTTATATTTGACCGAGTTTCATTAAAAAATTATTTTTTTAGATTTTTAATATGAATTTAATTTATTTTTTAAAAAAAAAGCTTTTTGTTTTAGATTTGAAATGTCCAAACCCATATAAAGGTATCATTTTTTATATTGGGTAAACTACATGTTTAATATATAAACTATTATTTTTGTTTTCTCTTGGTACCTAAATTTTTATTTGTTTCAAAATCATGCTTAATGTTTACTTTTTATTTCATTTTGATACCTCGCTGTTAAAAGTTTAGCAGAACAAACATGACATTTTATAAGTAAATTACATAATTTATCACTCAATTATCTTCTCACTCCTATTTCGGTCACTGGAGTTTAATTTTTTAATTTTGTGACATCATATTTTTATAACACCCTAATCCAGTCCGACATGAAGATCCATGGATTTCAATACCACACGAAACCACCAAAATGGTCAACCTGAAAATTTCTTTTTAAAACATTTGTAATCATCAAAATAATTCATCATAAATTGCAGTGGAAATCAATTCAACGTTTATAAAATATAAGAGTCAATCAAAATATGTACGTCACAACCATATGGTTTAAAATCAAAATAGAGTTATTACTTGATTATACAAGGTTCATATAGAATACATGACTCTACAAATACTTAAGACATACTCTGTAAATCTTCTGTTATGTAATGTACGGATGTGATAGGTTCCTCAGCAATCCCCTACTAACTTGCGCACATAAACACATTCCATATGTTGAGCTCACAACCTCAGTGTCACGAGAATAACTATGCAATACTTCATGCATTCATTACATGAATACGCTGGCGTGCAGAGTCATAAACATGCAAAAGTGCATAACAAACATGAGATAGGAATTTATGTGCATATCGGACAACACACTAACCGAAATTTACGTGCATTGGAACTTATAGCCCTTAGTCTACCTTGGACTCTCGAGAAGTCAAGGTGAGGACCGAAATTTACGTGTATCAAAAATTCACACCTCGAACCTAGTTGAGCATAAGGTACGATTACAGAATTTACGTGCATTGGAATTCATACCAGTACGATCCAAAATTTACATGCATTGGTTGTGTACCATCATACATTATCCAAATTATTTACAAACAAAGGACAATCATCATAAAGCTAGAGTAACTCGGGTGTCCTAGTTGTTTCCTGAGCGTCATACAAAGGTAAATCTTATGTCATCTTATCTTGCTTGATTTCTAAGTGAGAATCAAGTTAACTTATTTGTTTTCTCTTGTATCAGATACTTGAAGTGTATACGAACCCAAAACACCCAAAGCCCGAACACCCAAACAAATGAATTTAACTGGCCCAGAAGTATCGATACTCACCCCTTGGGTATCGATACTCAGATGGGTATCAATACCAAAATTAGATTCGATGTTTTGAAAAATATTTGGGTATAGATACTCCTATGGGAGTATCGATACCCCAGTGAGTATCGATACCAAATTTAGCTTCGATGTTTCCAAAAATACTCCAGTATCAATACTAATCCTCAGAGTACCGATAATGGACCCATAGTTATCGATACCCCTATAGGGAGTATCGATACTTCCCCTACAGAATGGCCTATTTTGGCTTCTCATGAAAGAACAATACTGATACTGATGGACCAGAGTGTTCTGTTTTGAGCACGAAAACACATTCAAATCTCACTCATTCACTCCCCTAAGACTATAATTTTTTTAAAATCTTATTTGAGGTCTTAGAGGTCAAAAGTTATCAACTTTCATGCTTACAAACAACAAATACGAATCTTGCCATGGAAATACTCTAGCATGCTCACATGAACCAAAACATACCAAAATGCACACACAATGACCTACATGCAGTAAGGTCAAGTTAGAAATGTTTTACCCTGAAACTAGGTGACTGAAAAACGTTCTCAAATCACCAAAGGATCAACTTTTCCTTGCCTCTAGCCATTGAGCTCTCCCCTTGTTCTTGCACTAATTAAGACATAAGAAATGAGTTATAAACTCATTGAAATTCTTGGAAAAAAAGCTAAAAACTTCTCCTTACCACTCAAATTTCATAAAACTTGCTATAACTCAAAGTTCCTTAAACCCCCACTAAAACCCGTTTTTGGGTAATTTAGCCAAAATTTTCAAAAGAGGGTTTAAATGAAAGCTTAAGAGTTGAGGATTGAAAATCTTACCTTAGAAATCTCAAGGAAAGCTTAGGGTTCTCAAAGCTTGAACCTTTGCTTGATTTCTTAGGGAGGAAGAAGATAACAAGAAGGGAGGAAGGAGACAAAGAAATGGTGAGGAAAAAGAGATATCATAGCAGACGTGAGATCACCCAATATAAATGATATTCAGCCTTTCATTCAAAAATTGAGACATTTACTCCTCTAGTCCCTCCACATTTAGGTCCAGATTAAAAACCCTTTTTAATACATTTTGGACTCATCTCAATCCCAAAACAAAGGTCACTTGGGTCAAAAGCTTCATGGGTTAGGAGAATTTATTCTAAGGGCTCAAGCAAACAAACCCAAAACTCCTAACCCGTATTTCGGGCGTTACTAATTTGACTACCAAAAAGTTAATAGCTGACATAATTAGTAAGACGGAGAAAATAATATTTATAAGTTATTGCATTATTTGAAATATAGAATATTTTTCTTTTTCTATTATAAAAATTTAAAAATAATCATAAACTAAATAAAGATTAAATTCGATTTTTTTAATTAACTAAATTTATAAAGTATATTCTATAAACTGTTCAAATATTTTAGTTTAATTCAATATTCGATCGGTTTTATTTTATCTTACTTTTTAGCCCTAGTAGAAGTAAACCTGCCCTTTTGCTGGGCTTTATTTGAACATGTAACCCTATTCTTAACTAATAGTATTAACTAATTTTATTACCAGGAAATATCTCATAATTATAAAAAGAGTTTGTAAAAATAAAAATAAATTAATCAAATGGTGTTTGATTGCATCTATCATTTGTACTAATTGTTTGGTTGAACTTTTAATCCTTTTTCTTATATGTTTTTCCCCTTAGATGACTATTTTGTACATTTTGATATCTTTAAGAAAAAAAATTCGATCGTCAACATGAACATAAAGAGTAAACTACATATTTAGTACACAAACTATCAGTTCTGGTCAATTTTAGTACCTAAACTTTTAATTTTTTCAAATCATATCTAAACTTTAGTTTTTGTTTCATTTTAGTACCCCGCCGTTAAAAACTTTAGTTTTTGTTTCATTTTAGTACATCGTTCAAAATTTAAGGTGGATTTTTTTAATATAAAAAAATTGATATTTTAAGTACTAAAACATACCAAAACATAATTTAGGCACTGAACGCGTTAAGTTTTCAACGGCGGGTACTAAGATTAAATGAAAAAAGCGTTAGGTATGATTTTGAAAAAATTGAAAATTTAAGCACTAAGACAGATCAAAACTGATAGTTTAAGTACTAAACGCGTAATTTACCCTACTATAAAATACGTATAATAATGACGACTGATTGACAAATTAACATTATCCCAATTCAATCATATTCTGTGTCCAATGATTATGAGTGTCTATCGATATCTAATCCAATGTGCATAAAGTCATGGACCAATTCTATTTGGTGGTTGGTGGTGAATTGACACAATCCTCAATTAGTGGTGTGTTGTCCATTCAATTCCAACATTTTGTTCAATTTGCAAGCATTACTTTAAAAAAACATGCCCCCAAACCATGTGATTACATTGTCCAAATCAACTTTTGAAATAATGAAAGTGACTACCTTTCATTGATTTTAATTCCAATCCCAATTTCATCAATGCTTTCTAATATTGCTAATCACTTCAATTTCAAAACCATTGTATGTATTAAAATATAGGGTTAGGATGCTTACACAATGTAAAACGCTTTAGTTTTATACAGATTTAAGATCGTTGGATAAGTGAAAACAGATGAATGAGATTAACTCTTTGTTGTTTTTAGTGAATATATTCACATTTCTTACTTTTAATCTTAGTCATATGTTTTCACTCATCCAACGGTCCTAAATTTGTTTAAAACTAACATAGTTTTACATTGTGTAACAGAATCCTATCCCATATATATATATATATATATAATTTAAGACAGTTGGATAAGGGAAAATAGATGGTTGAGATTAACAGTAGAAAATTGGAGGATTTCACTAAAACAAAAACAAATAGTCAATATCCGTCATCTATTTTCACTCATCCAACAGTCATAAATCTGTGTAAAACTAAAATGTTTTACATTGCGTAAGTGGATCATAACCTTATATATATAGTTGAACTGAAAAATATGTAGAATCGATTTTTTTATTTTATATTATTATTTATTTAATTATTATCAAACTTTTGATTCAACTGGTTAAATTAAATATCGATGGTCTGATCAATTTAACTACCGATCTAATTTTATAACATTATTGGAAAACATTTTATATTTACCCTCTTAGCTTGGTAGCATTGAGTGAGATTAGGAGGGTTGGGATATTTTACCAAACCCTAAACCAAATTAGATAAAAAGTTTAAGGTTTTTTTTTTATTAATTTAGGGTTTTGTTCTTTTAAAATAAAAATTTAATTTTCTATATCATTTCATAATTTAAGATTATAAGTTGTTTTCCCCCCCAATTTGATTCATTGATATAAGCACATATATTCATTGATCTATACATTTTGATCTAAATGTAAAGTAAACATAACTCGAAATAATTCGAACTCGAAATGAATCTAAAATAACTCGAATTTAAAGTGATTAAAATCCAAAACAATTTAAGGCTTGTATTCCCATTATAAAAAAATTAAAAATTAAAAATAAAGAAAATAAAGACTCTAATAATTAAATAACCTTTGTAAGGACCTACTCATTACTAAACCCTAAAATCTTTCCTACCCTTAAACCCTTTTAAGGACTCTAATTTCTAAAGAAAATGACCATTTTAGACTCCTATTTCCCCATCTCCAACCCTATACAAAAAATAAACAATGGACAAAGATGTAAAAATAACAACAAAATGAACATTTAAAGAAAATTTCAAAGAGATGGGGATGAGGGAGGCAATGGGAAAAGATGAACCCTTAACATTAGGGTTTCAAAATTCTCCAAACCCTAAACCCTGTTTTTGCATGTAATCCAATACCGGGTTGCTTTTGTTTGGGATCATTTCCGGTGGATCGGTGGTTTCACCAGCACTGCCAATCTTGGTTCTCATCTCCAACACCTTCTTATGAGAATTCGAGTGGACCGACGGGATAAACGTTGGACTCGCAGCGGGACGGTACTCCGGGAAGAGCCTTCCGGACTTATACCGGACGCCGCACGCGTTGCAGAGGGTTTTCGGTCCCATTGGCCCTGCCCTCCATTGAGGTGTCTTTGTTATCTCGCAATGCATGCATTTTCTGACTGCTTGTGGTTGTCCCGGTTGATTCGGAACGGCGTTGTTGTCTGTAGGCGGTGTCGGGAGCGTCAACTTGATCTTCTTTTTCTTCTTATGCTCGGGGTTGAGTTGTCGGGATAATTTGATTAGGAGCCGAGACTCGGCGTAGCTCTCAGAGTCGGATGACACCTTGGGGATGAGTATCGGAACGTCGTTACCGTCGTCGTTGATGGATGAAGAAGGGGAGATGAGCTGAATGGCTGGACGAGGGCTGAAAGTGGCCGGGCGGGGACGTTTGCTACGTGCACGTCCACGTTTTCCGGTGGCGGAAGCCGGTTCGAGCAACGGTTTGATCTCCCCGGAGCAAGAGCTGCTGCTTTCGAGAACCGAAACCGGACTCGAAGTCTGGAATTGATGATCGGACGATTCCTTGTTGATCGAAGAAGGTTCTTGTTTCTTGATCGTCAAGCTTGCTCCACAATTGGAATCTTCAACAAAGTGCGACAACCATTCCAATTGGACAATGTCTTCATACTGAAAAAAAAACACCCAGATTAAGTGGGCCCCATTAAATATAAGCATGCACAAACGATCACGTGACGAATCATGTGACCTCCA